CTTCCCAGCTGACTGAGAACGAGTGGGATTTGGGAGATGTAGCAGGGAAGGGAGAAGGGATGGTATGTGTATGGTATAGTGTGGAGGTTGGTCAACTTGGAGTTGAAAGTTGCTGTTGAAAGTCAGGAAAAGGGGTGGCTATGGTGGGATAAGATACAGAATGGCCTTGAAAGGCAGACAGGTTTAGACTTGACAGTTAGCTGTTCAATTTTTTGAGAGTATGTGGGTCAGTGTGAGAGATATTTAAGGAAGCTCCTGGAGTCAGCAAGACCAGCGTCTACTCAGGCCAGGCCTGTCCCTTGCCATCTTTGCTCAGGCCCTAGAGGCTCAATGTATCCTCCTTCCCTCCTCAGGGCTGTCACCATCCCTTCAGTTTTCCTCCCCTTGTACATCCCTCAGCCCCATATTTTCTCTTTCAGCAGCTAGCCCTGAAACAGACCCTCAGGTTCTTTTCATGTACAGCAGGTCCCCTTTATCCACAGGGGATGCCTTCCAAGACCCCAGTGGGTGCCTGAGACCAAGGATAGTACCCAACTCTGTGCATACCATGTTTTTCTTACATATACATACCTATGATAAAGTTTAATTTATAAATTAGGCATAGTAAGAGATTAACAACAGCAGTAATAACAATATGCCAGCATCACTACTCTTGTACTTTGGGGCCATTATTAAATAAAATAAGAGTGACTTGAACACAAGCACTGTGGTACCACAACAGTTGACCTGATAACCCAGATGTTTCATGTCTCAGGTAAGACAGCATAAGATTCCATCATGCTACAAAGGATGGCTTGTAATTTAAAACGTATGAATTGTTCGTTTCTGGAATCTTCCTTTTAATATCTTCGGGCTACAGGTGACCGTGGGTAACTACAAGCATCGAAAGCGAAACTCTGGGTAAGAGGGGTCTACAGTACAATTTCAGATAACTTATTATTTCCCCAGCCTACTCTAGTCAGAATCAGGTTTCTTTCCACCACTTCACAGATTGCCCATCAAGGGCCTCAGTGGCTTTCACTGGACAAAATCAATGGCCTGTTCTCATCTGACTCGAATCTAAGCAACATTAGGCATGGCTCACCACTTATTTCTTTTTAATCTTTTGTTTTCTTTTTTAGAGACAGGGTCTTGCTTTGTTGCCCAGGCAAGAGTGCAGTGGCTTCATCATAGCTCACTGCAACCTCAAACTCCTGGGCTCAAGCAATCTTCCTGCCTCAGCCTCCTGAGTAGCTGGGACTACAGGTGCATGGCACTATGCTTGGCTAATTTTTCTAATTTTTTGTAGAGACAGGGTCTTGCTGTGTTGCCCAGACTGGTCCCAGACTCCTGGCCTTAAGTGATCCTCCGACCTTGGCATCCCGGGATGCTAGGATTATGAGCATGAGCCACCTCACCTGGCTCACCACTTCTTTCTTGAAACATATTCTTTTCTTTGGCTAGAGGATAACACATGGCCTCCTTTTCCTAATGCCTTCCTGGCCAGATCTTCTCCTCTGCTGGCTTCCCTTCTGCTTGACCTCTCAACCTTGATACTCTCTTGGGCTCAGTCCTGGGACCCCTATTCTTGGCTACATCCACTCCCCTAGTTGTATCATCTAGTTTATCACGTGTAATCTCATCTAAACATTAACTATCTATAAAGATTTATTACCAACTTTGTCCTTGTGCATGAGCAGTAGGTTAATACAGCCAGCCCTTTACTGGATCTCTCTGTTTGGATGTTTGATGGGCATTTCAACGTTAGCATGTCTAAAATGCACCCCCTTTTTTCCCCCCCAAACCTGATCCTTTCGTGCTCCTCTGCTCCTTAGTATATGGCATTGCTTTTCATTAGCTACTTAAGCTAAAGTCTAAGCATTGCCCTTCATTCTTTTCTTTGACTTGGCTTCCAGATCCCAACTATCAACAGTTCCTTTCAGCTGTGTCTCCAAAATGTATCCCAAATCTGACTGTTTCCCCCCTCTTCCACCATGACCTCCCTAGCCTAAGCCACTTACGTGGATAAGTCTACTTGGGACTCCTGAAGTACCCCTCAGAGCTTCTCTTTCCTGCACTCATTCTCTGCACAGCAGCCGGAGTGGCCTTTTGAAAACCTAAATCACTTCATGTCACGTCTCTGCCCAGCCTAAGAGACTGAGAGAAGCACTTTAGCATTGAGAGAAGGGGCTCCATGGGACTTACCGAGAGGCAGGAGGAAGTTTTCC